TTTCACTTTTTAACTTAGCAATTCATTGGTTTTCAGACAATCAACAGTGACAAACTATTGGCAATGATCCTAATAAATAGATGTTATTACCAATTTATTAGGGAGTGAAATATTGTTCCCAAAATCTGATTTAGAGTATTTTTATATGAAGATGAGTTGGTCACTTTGTGAAAGTCTGTAAAATATTGTAAATTTATTTCAATTTTTCAATAAAGACACATCCTTGTGATATGATTATGGGTTAAAAAAAAAAAAAATTATTTGTATTGTTTTAATACAATTTAGAACTGTATACAATATTATACTATTATTCATTATATTATATTACAATTTGAAGTTATATACTATATTATATTATATAAGTCAACTCTTTCCACTGATCCTCTGACCACATATAAAAAAGATATTCACAAGAAGTTTTTATACTGCTATATTAAAAAGTCTTAATACTTTCTTTAAACTAACTTGAAAAAACTTTAAGAGTCAACACTATTTCCCTTCCTTCTTGCTAATACTCCTTTTCAAACAAAAACTTGATCACTAGTGACTAGAAAGTCAACCAATATCTTTTCTATCAAAAACAAGAAAGTTTTGAAAGAAAGAATAACTAATGTACTATCATCTCACACTGTAGAAAAACAATACAGAGGTATGTTGATGATAAGAGATAACTTTTCCACTCTCTTGTTATTTGTTGACTTCTCATAGTATTCATTCTCAATTTTTTCTGCAAAATTTTGCCTACCTCAATTTGACCTTAAATTTTGAGTAGCCAAAGTTTTTTACATTAGTAAAAGAAGTAAACAAGCTTCTATTGATCACCCCATGTGTCTGAATGCATTTTTTCAGCTCTATAAGAACCTGGAGTTTATCATGAATCACTTGCTTTGGAATAGGATTCATTGAATAGTCAACAAAAATCTCTCCCTTCTCCTTCTCTCCAACAGACATACTAACACTTGGGATAGTATTTTTTTGAAGGATTTTGATACTCCCACCTTTTCATCATATACCGATATATCTTTCAAACACAATCACCTCTCTTAATATTTTTCTTTGGAACAATATGTCTTGCTTGAGCATGTGTATCAAGGGAAATTTAGGAGGATTGATGAATCTTCTTTCCCAATGCATGAATTAGATTGATTCAAGTTATTCTCCTCGATAACAAGTCATTCTGTGGGCTGGAGTAGTTAGAATTTTACAATATGGAGATACTGAAAGCAGTCAAGGAACTAATAATATATTCTTGATCAACAAAGCCTTCGAAGAGTAATCAGCTTATAGAATCAAAGTAGTAGTAGTAGCATAAAATCTTAACTCTCATAAACAACTTTAGGAATGTTTTATTAGTAATTATTTCTTGTATTTGCATTTTGCTCTGACTTGAAAGTTTAATAAAATAAGGTTGAGTTGCCGTTTCAAATTATATTATACAGTATAAGTATAGTAATTGAACTTTTTCTACTGATCCTTTAACTATACATAAAAAAAATGTTCACAAGAAGTTTTATATTTCTTGATTAATATAGTCTTCCCACTTTCCTTAAAACAACTTGAAGCTTGTTTTCAAGAATCACTATTATTTTCTATCACTTGTTTACAAACTTTTTTTAATAAAAACTTGAGCCTCTGATAATCTAAATAGACTCAAGTACGTATTTTCTCTATTAAAGACAAGAATGTTCTAGGAAGTAAAAGGATCAACTGGTAGAGTATTATCTCTCAAAGCTGAATGTAACATGGAGATAGAAATTTTCTAAGCAGGATAAGACTTATTATCCACTTTCTCATATATTATCTCTTGCTCTCTTAGAGTATCTATAGTTTTTCATAGTTTTTTTGATAAATTTTGCCTATTTCCGCCTGACCCTGAATTTTTGATAGCACAATATCACCTGGCTTCTGATTAGTTGACATAAAACATATTGATAGCAAAATATAAACAAGATTCCACTAGCCATACTCATATGTTCCGATGATATTATTGATAAAAAAAAAGAGAAATCAAGGATATAAACTTTACTACTTTTCCAAATGAAATTTAACTGAAGCAAAGAAACCATGAGGTCATTAAGATGGGTACTAAATTTTCTAGATGGTAAAAATGTAATTATTTGCTTAAATCGAGATCTTCAACTTTTTATTATCCTGGTTAGGCAAAGTATGTAAAGGAGATTATTTCTTTATTTCAGTTAGGCTATAAGATCAAAAAGTAGAGGAATGTAAAACACTGCCCTTCTCTAAGATTGAAAATGCATTTTTCCAGATGTTGTGTAATGATATTGCAATCAGAATAAATATCAGTAAAATTCCTTTAACTAGGTATGGCTGTTGGAAGATATTAGGAGTTACTCAATAAGATTAAAAGGACACATAAGAATCTGGAGCCTACAATTAATTATTTTTTTTTATGTGGATGGATACAAAATTAAGATTGAAAGAAAGGAAAAGTTGAGTAAAATACTGGATCTGAGTAGATAATAAGTACTTCAGATAATTATAAAAAAATAATTAAAAGCATAGATGGATAAGTTTCTCAGATAGTTAGAAAGAAGAAAGATATCCTAGAAAGGTTGACTTATAATGAGAAAAGGTTTTTAGCAGAGGTCCTTTAGAAAATATGGAGCATTTTTATTTTTATTTTTTATTTTTTCTTTTTATATAGTGCATTTGCATAATTTTAGATATTCTCTTTTCCTTTTATTTTTCCTTTTCCTTTTTATGGTTTCTCAAATTCAGTTCCTTAGAAAATAATGAGTAGTAATAACCTGTTAATAATGATAAGTAAATTGGAAAAATATTTACTCAAAATTTACTATAAAATGAAATATTGTTTTCAAGATTGCACTTAAAGGTTGAAACACTTTTGAGAATTGAAAGTATTGATAAATATCAATACAAATCTTTTAGTTTATCCATTATGCAATTGGCCTATGTATTTCTATCAGTTTTCATAATGATTAATAATATACAGTGTTGAACTGACCACGGATTTAAAAAAAAAACAAAAAAAAAAAACCATATTTACTATATATTATTCATTATATTATACTTATATTATATTACAATTCAAAGCTATTTAATATATCAATCACAACTTTACTACTTTATGTTACTATTTATAAATTTTCAAAAATGTTAAAAAAGTATTCAATTTTAATATTATGTAATAAAAATTAAAAAGAAATTTCAAAAAAGTAAAAATTACTTGTGACTGTAGTAAATATAATAGATTATTTGTTGATTTACAAACAGAATTTTTCCATAGATATTAAAAAACAAAAAACAAGAATTTAGCAAATGAAAAAGATAATAAAAAAAGAATATCTGGATAAAGGTTTAATTAAAATAATAATAGTAGATATCAAAAATAATATGAAATAATTGGATTTTAAGTTTGATTGTAATTTTGATCAATAATTTATGATAATAAACTATAGGCAATACTTTTAATAATAGAAGAATATTAATTCAAATTATAAATAAAATAACAAATTATTCTTAAAGTTGTACTTAAAGTTTGAAAAAACAAATTAAAATAAGTGAGTTAATTAGTGTTTTAACTTTAGTGACATTGTAACTAGTATAACTTATATTATGTTTAATAAAGAATACATAATTAACTTAATGAAAGGTTAAAAAAAAAATGTAACCTGACTACAGATGTTACAAAATAATACTAATAATAATAATAAACTGTTAATATTAATTCAAATTAGTTTATATTTTTTAAGTAATATAATTCAACTATTAATATACAAAAAATAAGTTAATCATTATGCAAAAGTTTTGCAAATAACTATTTTGTCAAATTCTTAAATATTAGAAAAATCGGTTTTTTATTCGATATAATATATAAATTTTGAAAACCATTAATGAAAGAGAAAAAAATGATATTTTCATAAATGCCACAGAATTGATTATTTTGGAAGTATACGTACAATAAGTGATCCTTATGATTTTGTTTATTTGTATTACTTACAAGCCCGAAGTTGATACATTATGACCTGGCGAAATATGAATCGCACAAATCTTGATAATACTAAGCAAACTAAACAGACCAATTTTCTCTTTATAAAGAGCATGTAGGTCTTCGTTTGCGAAAACCGGTTATACCAGCAAGCCAAAGAATCTCGGAGGAAGTTCAATAAACGCGGTTAAAGATAATTTTCAGCCACAATCCCTAATTATGTAACGTCGCACAACGTCACCAGGTCGTCATGGCTTCAGTGTTACCATCTACGTTAGAAAAGATTCCATGATTGGTATATTATGTTTCTAATACAATACGCAGCATCCATTAAAAGCCTCTCTTTATCAACTGTAGGAAGGACATGACTGAACTTGCCGAAGCACATGTCCACGTAAACCAGGATAAAAACGATCATGATCACGAGCATGAACATTCTCACGAGCATCGTGTCCATGACCATTCCCATAATCACAGACACAGTCATAGTCACAGCCATGACCACGATCACCATCACGAGCATCATTACGGGCACGTACACACTGACGAGGAGAATATAGCGGATAGGTCCAATAGAATTAATGAGTATGAATTGCTGTTATCCCGAGAGAAGAGGAAAGATACCACCGATCCCGAAGTTGAAAAGGTATTCACCTTTGACAAGTTTTAAGGTTAATATTTGATAATTAACCTTTAGTTGGTTATATTTAAGTATTTTAAAGCAAAAGAATTATACGTAAAAGGATTTGGGCTTGCTTCTAAAATTCCGGAAGATTCAGAAGAAGAAACCCTGAGAAAACACGAGCAAGAAATTTTAGAATCCACTCAGTTTCTCGTCGAGGCATTCTTATTAGATGATAAAGCGACTGAAATGTCACCCAGAATCATGTCCCTTGCTCAGCAGTATGAAAATCTCCTAAAATTGGGAGAAGATGGCGAAAAAAAAGAGATCGAAGAAAAGATTGTAGAAAATACGAATGAAGAAATATTAGATGAAAAGAAAATAGACAAGGATCATCGCGAAGATATCGACACTCTTGAACCGGAATTCACAAGAGAGTGAGTTTCTGTGACGTTTAGTCCACAATAAAGATAAAGATAATTATCAGTTTTTATTAACAATTAATCAATTAATTCACCCTCCGAATAAGGTCTCTCATATTGGTCATTTGGCTCCTTTTCAACGGTAAACAATACAAATTCTGTATTCAAACTCTTACCGTAGCCCTTAACCAACTTGAGCCATCCCTCTACCCGCGCCTTCTCCACCTTCGCGCTTCATGCTACCTCGCTATCGGAGATCACAAACTGTGTGTCAAGGATCTTGAGCGATTGGCATCAATCGATCCCAATTTTGTTAGCGCATATCACATTCAAGGATCCATACATATGTCGCAAGGGGATAGATTGGATGCCGCGCGTAATTTCAAAATGTATGTTGAAAAGGCAAATAAGGACTCAACTTCTTACTCCCATGCTCTTTACTCTTTGTGCGCGCTCACGATTCAAAGTGCCACGGCCGCAACGACAGGGAATCGTTTGCGTGTCCAGCAAGCATTTAATTACTATCAAAAAGCAAAGGAAGCTGAAAGTAGGTACGAATATCTCTATGGTCGCAAGCTTGAAATGACCGACGTTAAACGTACGGCGGTCGCGTTTTTTGAACAGAAAAATCAAAAAGAAACCAATAAAGTGGAAAAAGACTCTACGAAGGAGGCCGAGAGATTAGCGCCAATTTTGCAGCAATTGTTTAAAAAATGCAACCATTGTAACAGTCTCTCGAGAAGAAATGCAGATGGGGAATTGAATAATGGAAAATTGTTTGTCTGTGCTGGTTGCGGGCATGTAAATTATTGTTCCAAGGAATGCCAAAAAAAGGATTGGAAAAAACATAAACAACAATGCGCATATCTTAAAGAGCTAACCAAAAACGGATGATAATTATTTCAGCGGGTGTGTGGAAATATGATATCTTTTTTTTTTTTTTTTTAATTTATTATTATTATTTTTTTTTAAACATGTATTATTAAAGGCTTATTTTTTCATTTGCCCGATGTTTTTTTTTTTTTTTTTGATCATCAAGGAAGAGGTATATTGTACATAAACTCATCTAGAACAGCATATATCGATGGTGTGACCGGTTTTCCCGAGAGAATGAATCTATCAATAGCTTTTAATATTTCGACATAATAATAAGGTGAACGGAAATAAATAACTAAAATTCTTTGGGATATTTTGCGGGATTAATATTTTTCTAATATTATGAATTATGATTACACGAGAGTTTTGATAAATGTTTAAATGTTTGTAAAAATGATATCTAATAATGATTAAATAAATATTTAATCATTTCGTCCCCATGTGATAGTTTAAAATTTAAAGTATAATTGTAATACTATTGCACTGATATTAAAGCCAAGTAGTGATATGATGTAAATTATCAGGAAAATCGCTATCGGATACAGAAACACTTCTGTGTGCAAAAGAAAAGGAAGAGCTACATTTTTATAGAGAAAATAGTGGGTTGTTAAAATATGCTTCGATTCGTTGACTTTGATAAAATAATAAAAACAAAATACTCGTCCTTCTTTTGATATAAACGTACCGTTGTAACCAAGAAACGTGATGTAACAATAATAGCTTACTGCTATAAAGTACATCGTATTACCCAAGAATAAACATACCCAAATATCCTTAGTCAATACTCGCATGAGGAAGAATTGCACTACATAAAGGATTAGAAACAGTGGGAAAAACGAATTACAATGCACATCAAATGCATAAGCCCACTCCACTGTTTGTTCAACGGCATGAATCGTATGTCTATGCGTTAAAAATCTATTTGTCAATGCCCTTTTTGAAAGCGACAAGACAGTTAGTATGATTCCAAACAAAGCGCGAAATGCATAACTATATATTCGAATAAATTACCAACACATCGTCGATATAACTATTCCAACCACCACAAAATCTACAAAAACCATAAAAAGGCTCATCTTCAGAATTCCAATTAATCCATGACTATATACTAATCCCCAAGCAATCGCGGATACTTTTTATTGGAGGTAAAGTTTAATGATTACTAAAGATCAAAAAAACCCTCAATCAACCGTTTGATCCACAAAACAGAATTAAAACTTGCCCCCCAAAAAGAAAGATAAGATCACAACAAAGGCCGGATCATCTCTAGCCCACTGATTTTTTGTTTCTATTTATTGAAAAGTTGAACTTATGAGCGTGTTCGGTTCCAAGAAACTGATGGGAGGAAATAGATAATGCTCACGCTTATGATAATAAATATTCCGATATCTGTTTTAAGAAAAGAAATTGCTATTGGATTAGCCACGATCTTATGAAACGAGTCATTATACAAGATTTTTACTCACACTCTCCGTGGTGATATACATAAATAAAGCATCTGCCAAAAGGCAAACTCAAAATCCTGTGGATATCGATTAGAATTAACATTTGAAGACTTTCTAAGTGTAATAATGGACGAGCAACCCGTACCATTTGTGGAAAACGAAACAATCGCCGTAAAAATATTGGAATTGATGCCGTCCAATATGTCGGTCGCCTTCGTTTGTGAATTGTTTCTTCATGGAAAGACGAACGCGGTGCTGTCGTTGGTAAAATTGGCATTTTTTTTTATTATGCAAATTTTTTACCAAAACTATATACAGTATATGCAATTTGTCACGGGTCGTGTAACCTTAACAACACTTAATTGCTAACGATCTTGCAACAATCGAATAATCGCGCGCTTCTGTGTGAAGCTTGTTACGTAAATTAAAAAATGATCTGAAGTCCATCTCCTATATCTAGGTATGTTTAATAAATAAGGGACTAATGATAAAGTTATCAGTAATAATACATTAAGTAATTCGAAATTTGATTTTTTTTATTTCCATTTAACTATTTTATTGCGAGACAAGCATTAGATGCAGATCTTTCATATAATGATTAACTTATCTTTGATTTCTTTATAAAGAAGATTATAAATAGTTTCATATAGCATTTATGTTATTAAACTTCAATTTATCTAATAGCTTGTTACTTCAAATTAGATAAAGTTAAATAAAAGATATTAATGTTATATATAATCAATATTTGTTTTATAGAGATTTTTTGTATAGAAAGGCTTATTTTCTTTTCTTATTAGTTACCTGTGTTTCTTTGAATTTTTACTTTCACAATTTTTTAAGAAATTTTGCTTATTTTAGTTTGATCCTAATTTTTAAATAGTATTTTTTTTATTATTATTAAGAATTATGAAACTTAATTACAATAAAGTTATTAGTTATTACTAATATACAACAAATTTTGTCTATATATAGAGCAATTCTATATATATTAATAATCATATTTCTTAGCTTATAATGGATTGAAGATATTACTGAACCCATATGTAGGTAGTCTTGCCATTGTGACTTATTGCTAAAAAAAGTCTTGCTACTTTATTACATATATCTATATTATTCTTTAAAATCTCTTATTTTTATAGATCTTAGATCTATAATATAAAACCCTTTTATATCTCATTTCACTAAATATTTTTTTTATAATAACTATTACAGTATATCTACAGAATATTTCATAGAATTTTAAATATTATCTTATTCTACTAGATCAATTTTTTTTTATATAACTTATTATAACTTATTTATAAAGTAATCATGTAAAGTTTTAGACAAATATTAAATTAATAGAAACTCTTATTTAATTAATATGTTCAAACTTCACTAGTTCTTTCTTTATAGCATACAGATCTTTACCTATCTATTGAAATGATATAGAAATTTATCTTATAATAAAATATCATATAATCTAAAACTAATTGAAATATTTTTATAATTTTTTTATATTTTTTGTACTCAAACAGAATCTTGATTAAAGATAATATGATCATTATCATTAGACAAATAGAATATTTGTATTATCTGAAGTATAAATAATATTGTCTTATAATGGTATTAAACTCAAAAACAATATTTGATAATTTGAAAATACTACTATTATACTATGAATCCATAAATCAAAATTTTTAAATAATAAAATTCTTATAAAAAATAAATAATTAATTAAAATATATTAATTTTGTAATAGTGATTTGTAGGCAATAGATCTATAGTATAGTGATAGTGCTTCTAGGTTGCAATCACAAGATTCAAAATTCAATATCACTTAAGGACCAAGTAAAAAAATACTATATATAATAAAATAATTTTATTGAGTGACAAGTTAATACTTGTTATTGGATGTAGTCCTGACTGTCTTACTGATACTCAAAATGGAATGATCCACTATAATATGACATCACTTATAACTGATCTCTATCAAATCAGGTCAATCTATAAGTGTTGTGAATAATTAGTATCTTATTATTATAATTATAATATAAAGGAGAATAGAACTAATCTCATGATCAACCAGAACAGAAACTGGATTGGTAAAGAGACTTTAGTGATCTTATCAACCAATAATAAAATTGTCAAGTCAAGAAGGTTGAAGGCCTGAAAAAAATAAACATTGTATTAATGAAATAGATAAAAGTATAATCAAACTTGTCTATAGTAAATCATTGAAAGATTTTGATAAAAGAAGGAATCTATAGATTACACCAAAGTCTCAAAACTGGGAACAAGTCAGAGTACATATAACAGTCTAATAATTAAACTACTCTATAAAATTGTTTTAGCAAAAATTAAGAGAACATTATGTGGTTTCCCTTAATAGGCTAGTTGGTATATACTATATAGTATATAATACATTTAATATCATCATATATATAACATTATTTTATAATAAATAAAAATCACAGGATTAAAATTAACAAGACAGGCTTCTATAAAAATATATGCACTAATAGGAGTTATAAAGATTATATATAAGAAATCTCTGATATTAAACATCTTAGGCAAGTTTTTAACACATTAACCTCTCTACACAGGGATAGCAATAAGTTATCTGGTGAACCATGGTTCTAAAAAATGTTATTTCAATTGAATGGGATTTAAAAACATGGACAGTATTCCATTAAATTGATATATTAAAATATTTTCAGATCCTCTAACTTAATTAAGAATTAAGAAAAAATCCTACACTAGACAGTTATATAATTCTCATATCCTGATTAGATAAGATATAAATAGATACCCTTTATACTATTTGTTGATTAATAAATCCTTAAACAGTACATGTAATTACTTATCTCTAGGATTTATCTTAATAATTAATAAAGATTCTGATGTTAGCACAGAAATGTGTTAGTATATTTTAAAAAAAAAAGATTCATAGATAATAATATTAATAATTAAAAAGATTTCATTTAGACGACCTGTGGGTCAATAGTACAGTGGGTGCACTCCCAGGTCACCATCCACAAGTTACTGGTTCAATTCCACTTGAGAACAGTATTTGCAATATAGGTTACGTTGTACAAGATGTATGCTCTTCACCACATGCACCCTTGTATACAAATATAACTTATAAAATCCTATCATTTGACCACAGTATAATAAAATTAAGGTCATACAACCTTGGCCGGTTTTAGTGCTAAGGAATCATAAGATTCTATCATCCGGAATATGTGAAGATACCAAGACAAGCCAGGAAAGACCCTGATGGACTCAAGCCTCTAACAGAAATGTGAAAATACCCACCTCTTCTCAAAAAACATTCTTATAGGAGATTTGGGAGACTTCAGTCGTCTGCACCAATCAAAAACATATGGGCCGTAACTCAAATCAATGGGAGATCTTATCGCGATTGTGAAACCAATGGTTACCAGAGAGGACAGCTGTCTGCAAGGCTGATTATTAGCATTAGCATCATGATGGAAATCGTAGGGGTAAACTAGAAATTTGGGAGAAGCAATTCAGAAAGTAACAATCAAGGAAAACCCCTGTAGGCCATATTTGAAGAGTGATTAAGAATGA